TTCTGTAATTAAAAACTATTTAAGCTAAGTTCAAAGCTTAAATAGTTATAATAAGACCAGTAACATATGTATCAGTAATCAAAATTGACTTTTTAAGAAATGTAATTATTGCCACAGATTGTAAAGAAAACCAGTTGTTTTTTTTTTTTAAATGCTAAGCGCCCCAAAGTTTCAATCTCGTAACAAAATGACGACAAGAAAGCTATAGGAAAAGTTTTGTACCTAATAGAAAAAAAGTATATTTTACCACTAGGCCTTCCCCAACTTACTTAAGAGTTAAGTAAGAAAGTGAATCTATCGATAGTTATCTGAGCGAAAGGTAAACTGCAACGAAAGTCGAAACACCTGCGAAACACCATGATTATATCTTACTTCCCATTGTTATGTGCTTATTGGGAACTAACGACTTAAAAAGACCAAAAACTAAAGTATAGAGTATACTTTATAGAGTAAACTTTTTTTATGATGTAAAAGTGTTGTTGCTGGTTGTTTATCTTTTTTTTAAATTAATTAAAAATAATAAGGTAATGATTGAGAAAGAGTGGCGAATTACCAAAGTCTGTTTGGAAATATCTATGAGTTAGTTTGTAATTGAAGTAAATTAGATCAAAGTATCAAAGTAACTACGCAAGGAATTGATGAGATAGTTCACAGCTTTGATACTAAAAGTCCGACGGATACCGAAATAACATTTTTAAAAAACAGAATAAAAAAAATGATAGAATGCATGTTCGTGACATCATTAAAAAACTTATAAGTAACCTTAAATATTAAACCTTTTTATCGGTAATATTTCCGACACATGTCGACTTTTATGTAACGAAATAATTAACCTCGATTATTATTGGGTCATGATTTAATTACAAAAGTTATCAAACCGACCTATTCGTGCTTCCGAGACCCTCACCATTTATAGGAAGCTTTTAGCACCGTGCGTCGTGCAGCTTCAAATATGCAAATATATTAAGCTAATGTTTATACCGTCATAATTCATTTCCTACATCATCGTGTGCACTTTATTTAATATTACCTACTTAAAATGTTTTTTTTTTTTGCGATTAGTTTAAATTTGTAGTTAGGTATACGAGCTTAATTTTATAATCATTTTCCATCCTTTGTTGTGTAAAATGAAAAGGCTCTGAGAACATCTTGTTTTCTTCCACAAACATACCTACGTGTAATGAGTATAACGTTATAATAAGCTAATTCGTTTTCGTCTCATTCGTCTTTTACTTACGCACATAATTACATAATTTACTTTAATCTTGGTACCACTGAACTTTACTTGTACGTAACTGGCAAATCATTTATCACCAATTTTGGCTTCACCTTTTCACAGTTCATCCAAAAAGTACGAATATAGTCATACAAGTTCACGCAAATATTGTAGTTCTGTGATTTCACACTTAACGAGATTTTAATTAATATCATTTGTCAGAACTTCACCTCGTTTATAAAGATTTATAATCCGACTTCTAACATTATTTTGATGACACAATTAAAGTGTTAGAAATTGAGTAACCATATCAACAGTCTAACTGTAGCACAATAGTAGATTGAGTCATTCTTATAGGCGAAAATCATTAAATTACTTCTGTCGTATTGAACGAGTTGAGAGGGAATGTCAGACTCTTACTGCTAAAAAAACATTCCGTTCCTTCCTCACATTGTCGTTTGACCTGCAACCCCAGTTGATATGCTTAGAGTCTATGATGTCAATCTTAACACAATTTAAGACAAGACAACGAGCCATTAACTTGGTACAAATGGTATGATACATCTTCAACCAGACCTACTAATACATCATCAGCCTATATAGGTAAGTGCCCACTGCTAACCAAAGGCCTCTTCTCACACGAAGTAGGTTTAAACATTAATCACCTTGAGCTTGCTCAAGGAACATTGGTGATTTCAAACTTCTAACTAGAAATTACAAGTCCAGGTTTCCTTATGATGTTTTCGTTCACCGTTTGTCAGTGGTGTCTAAATAATCATAGAAAGTGCATATAACTCGGAAAAAGTCATATTGATACTTGCCGGGTCTCGTGCGTCATGCATGAGAAGCGAGGGCTTTTACCTCTGGGCCACCACGACGATAGACTAAGGCAATAAGTGAAGAAGTCTGTCTAGGAAATAGTGATCTCTTCTGTACTTAGTTCAGTGATCTTGACTTGATACAGTCCAGTGCGCCAGCATCACCGGATAGTTTATCGTCTCCCATATCTGATGTCAGCTTGTCGCTACATCCTGCGACTTTTTGCTTGCCTCGTATGTCGATACATTTTTATTAATGGCGAAGTGCATTCATTCAGTCAAGTCCTTTCATTGCATCTTTGTAAATCTTTCCAAGTGTTATTACAGTTAATCAACGTTCAATCATATTTCACACTACCTGATAGGTATAATACATACATACATACACCTATACGCGAAAGTTTTTAATCATGGATCGAGAGATGTTCCTGAGTAAAACTTAGCATAGATATACATTACAGTCTAGAATAACATAATATAGGCTACGTTTTACCCTGGTATGACGAGCAAAACCGCTGACACAACATCCTAAAGACCTGAATAATGTTAGTATGTGCAATGAGCACCGTTGCCCATATTTTGGTGTCAATGTCTAGGCAATAAACGTTACAAATCAGGTACAAAGCATAAAAGACCTCTTTATTAATTTTATGCAAGTTTTTACGGTTTTCATGAATATTACCGATGCCATGCAATGGTTCTGCGCAGACGCATCTTGCAGCCTACTGCCCGAGGTCGCGGACGTGAGAACGCACTTGTTGGCATGACGTCATCTTACTGCAACCAGGCCTAAGGTGACATTTCCGCTCAATAAGAAACGTGATGAGGATTCACAAATTTATGGTTATTTATAGATAGCTGATTTATTTGAATTGATATTGGTATGAACTCTTTTAAAAGGTAGGTTTAGATGAAATGGACGGAACAATGAATAGACCAAAATAAAGCTGTTCCATGGACATGAAGTTGATGACATAACTAGAGGAAAAAGCGACAATGTTACACATTGAGGCCTCGTCTAGTTTCACCCAGTTTGAGATTACCACTGACAATAATAAATACTGCTATTTTTTTTGCCTTATTGATACACAACGAAGTATACCTCTGTCTATTTTATAGCAAGTTTAATGATAATTTACTTCATTGAACGTGAAGGAAGGAAGGAAGTGAGTTTTGATAAAAGGAGCAGAATTATGGAAAAGCAAATTGATAGTTTTGTTACATCGCCGTCAATAAAATTCCGTGTCGTTATTATAGAAAAATAAACAATCTTAAATCGAACAGCTGTTGCATACGAGATAAATTTAACACAACCAGTTTCGTCGTAATGGTGGTAATGTTAAGTCACGCTACGCCACCATGCTCCACATACGGACCTCATTTCTGAAAAACTTGCGTAAGGTCAAGTCGACCATTTAAATTTGACAGGTCAATCAGGTTATTTTCGGGGTAAAGCAATGTTTACAAAGGCTCTGAGAAGTTGCGAAGTTGCATAATACGGTGTAATAAATAAGTACATTACATACCATTGTTATATATGAGCTACCGACAAATGAGGTTGAAATATGAATCATTTTAAACACACTTTTTGAATGGCATACATTATTTTTGTACGAGAAAATCGATGTATTGTTTCTTTGATGTTCAGTTTAATTTTTAGACAATTTTGTCGAGGTTCATAAGAAGACTTAGGTGATACATTTGATCAAAAATTAGAAAAAATAAAAATGAGAATTTGAAAGTCTTACTCGTATCTTCAGCCAGTCTTATAAGATTCCATATTCAAACTTGACAAAAATTGAATTAGCGTTGTTCGAATTTAGGATTTAGGCAAGCAAACTCAACAAAACCAAGAAACAAGAATATTTTTATCAATTATGATAAGTTCAACTTAGGCGTACCTATAAGACAAAAAATCGTCTTTGCTAAATTGATAAAAGTTTAATTTTAAACAAATAGCATGAAAAAAAAAATAAAACTAAATTACACTACCATATTTGTATCCATTACATTATATCGCAGCAATACTAATTACTATCTAAATCTGGTATATTATCCTATATATTTAACAATACTACTTACGGTCTAGTTTGTCTCCAGAACAAAATATTGTATGACTTCATCGAAACAAATCGTAAACAATTATTGTCATAATGACACATCTGACAATTAATATTCATTACAACAACATAATATTAACCGTGGGAATAAACGTAGGTCTGTAACGTATAGCTAAGTATTTTGTAATAGCCACACCTAATCTAGACTGGTTTTAAACCTTTTTGAGTTTCCGTTCAAACAACATGTAGTCTATGGTTTTCCTCCATTCATATTAAAGAACGTGTTCGCGCCATTTTTAGATTTTGACCGCCAATTTAGAATTCATTTAAGTACAATATTTTTGTGATTTCCTTCCCCAGTCTTTTTTAATATCTACCGTACGAAGCTGCGGTATTTTTGTACACACAATTTAAATAAAATTTAACTTGTTCGATAAATACGATATTTAAGTACGTTTAAACGTAAAATTCAATATTTAATTACATTCCTAAACAAAACTGAACAATAGGTTCACTATAGCGATCTACTTTCTTAAAACTGCTCTTAAGAGAAAAGTTTGACTATATAGGATGTTCTCATAAGGCACGGTCCACTTCCCAAACCGTAGTTAACATGTTCGTCAATTAGCATAATGATTACGAAACAATGCACTCGTGGTACCAACTCAATTAGTGCTAGTTGTACGCTTTCCATGCGAATAGGATACACTCGTTTACTTCTAACAAAAGAATACCTCATCTGTATGGACGAGACAAGTCGGAAGCGTTATTTAACGATCGGTAAAAAGTAATTAGTTTTATGCAATACTTAGCGTTTCTACATGTGTCAGGACTTCTTAATTAAATTTTGTTGTACTAATCTGGATTTTAAACATGTTTTTCGTACTTAACAGTTCTTATTCTTACCTTGTCAACCTCCGATATTCTCAATATAACTTTCAGCCGGGGGTTGTTCTTCTTGTATTCCTTCAACAAAGCATCGAGTTTATCTCCTCTCGCGTCGCCCGCGTAAACGAGATGTGTGCACTCGGAAAATCCGTCGGTCGCGCGCGCGCTTTCCACATAACAGACAAGGCGGGCGGCGCCGGCGCCGGCGCTCTCGACGCCCGACAGCACCGCGGCCGCGGCGACAAAAACGAACCAGAGCCACATGATTTAAAAAATCAAACTGTCATTCCGAACGCGTCGTATTTTGAAAATTCGAATTATTAGTTTGGAAGCGCGTTGGTCGTGTCGTTAGCGAAGTACGAGTGGCGTAGTGGCGCGGGTCGGTCGCAGTCATAGGCGCCCCCGCCCTGCCGGTGGTGGCCGGCGCAAGGTCGCGCGCTCACCGTCACCCGCGGGACGGCAGCCCGACCAGCTCACTGCCGCCGCCGCTACACACAAACGCTGTTACACTTCATGCGTCACCGCGCGGTATGCCGCCGTGTGTCACTTTACTGTGAGTGTGACTGATGAAGGTCCCAGTTAAAAGGCTGTCAGGATAATTAATAATTCTTCTCATTGCACCTAATATGTAGTTAAAATTTAAAAATTCCAGAGAAAAAAAAATATTTTCTAGGTATTGTATTTATGCACAAAAAGTTTACACGAGCTAATGAACTAATACAGACACATTAAATGTTTTATTAGTGATTTATTATAAAATCTGATCGCTTTGTTACGCAGTATTAAGTACTAAGTATTACGTAATCAAACATTTTAATTGAACTAAATATGACTACTACAACATATGTATAAGTAGAACAGACCAGTCAGGAACTCTTACTCTCAATACTATCAATTATGAACGAACAACCTATACATTAACCCACTATTACTTGCAGTCTCGAGCACCTACTTATTTTTTATGGTTTTAGTCGGCAAACGAGCAGACGGATTACCTGATGGTAAGCAATCGGCGCCGCCCATGAACACCCGCAACACCAAAGGAGTTACGAGTGCGTTGCCGGCCTTTTGGGGATAGATCGGGTTGGGGAAGGATCGGGAAGGATTGGGCCTCCGGTAACCTAACTCACACGGCGAAACACAACGCTGTGGGTTGTTTCACGCCGGTATTCTGTGAGGCCGTGGTATCACTCCGGTCAAGCCGACCCATTCGTGCCGAAGCTTGGCTCTCCCACACTTAAGCTCCATATAACAACCATTAACACATTGACTAAGAATGTTTAGATTAAACATCTATATCTACATATAATATACCAGCTTTTGTCCTATGTGTTAACCATGAACTAAATATCCATATCTGAATAAATACTTCATGGTGTTAATCCACGATATCACCTATCTATATTCCAAATTTGAAAAATTTTGCGTGATAGAATAAGAAACACGTTTCAACATATTATCACAAATTGTTATATTTATCTTAGGTAGGTATGTCAATACGGTAGTTTCCAACTAGTCAAATTCAATACTTTTATCCAAACGTCAAAAACGATACTTTTCTATGAAGTTTGTATGAAAAACTGCGTTATGACGTCACAAATTTTTGCGTCAAATAGCTTACTTATTTCTAATAATTAGCTAAAATATAAATATAATCTAAAACTTAGTGAATCGATCGATCGATGAATAAAAGTATAGTTATTTTTCAGTATTTTATTGTATTGAAACGTCGAATTAATTTATTTTTGACCTAGGAAACTACCCAATTTGATATGGTTGTAACCGCACCCACGAAAAAGGCGAAAAATGATAATAAATATAATGTGGGGCAAATGATTTAAAAATATCCTCACCTTGATGAAAACGAATGGGGATCGCATACATCACAGCCAGAGCTAAAGTACCGAAATTAATTACCTACAGACATTAGGTAATTACAATAGTTTTACAAAACACCAAGTGTACGTATATCTGTCTGTGTATCTATTGAATATAAGTACAAGTACGTGTCTCATTTCCTTATAACTTGAGAATATTGTCCGAATTCCTCACGAAGGTATCTCATCTATCCATTGTTAAGTCAAAGTACCTACTAGTATTACTTGAACACCGTATCGCACAAAAAATCTGATCTAACAAGATGTTATTGTTCTTTTTATGATGTTATTTATTTTTAAATTAATCGGAATGGATTAAGTTAATAACTCAATATTGAATGGCCGGATAAGATCCCGAATCGAGTTTATCGATTATCCCAAATCGGATAAAATGTTTTTTCGGTTTTCCAGTTTTTTTTTGTCACAGTAATAGTTGCTTAAAATATTTGTTTTGATTACCTAGTTATTTCAAATAATTCATTATAAAATATACCTACATATTTTTTAATAAAATTTTTGTGCACAAATAGGTTTAAAACAAGGCTGTCGTCATTTCTTTGTACGTTTATGACGTAACTAAAGCCCTTACCTTGGCTTGTCGTTATAACTACAATAGTGCCAAGTATAAAGTAAATATGGTAATAGGCTCAAAGCTAATTAAATTCAAATTCTTAAAATAAATAAATGAGAAGTGAGAGTTGTTTAATGGAAATACCGACTTTCCTTTCATTCCTTCTTTCCCTTCCTTTATCCCTAGATCTCCTAAACCCAACGAAAGAAGGCCCCAACGCACTCGTAGCTCTTTTGTTTTTGCTCGTGTACATGGGCGGCGCGGATTGCTTACTATAAGATAATCCGTCTGCTCATTTGATTTATACCTATGGCATAAAAATACTCAAATATTGTAGGTACTTAAGTACATATTGCTAATTTCTTTTATTTTATAACATTAACGTTTTTGTTGTGTGGTAAAAATAACATGCGCTTGATTACAGTTTTGAAATATGAATTTTTCGTGAATCATTTCTTGAATAAGGTTAACAATGTCTTAATTATGTTTCGTCTTGATTAAAATAGATCGGATAGTCTGAAGAACGTCAAAAAAAGCTCGTTAATATACTTCAAATCATGTGTTCTCATTAAATCCGTTACACCTAGGTATGTAAATGTCTTGCTCTGGGCCGAGGTCGCGGTGCCTCATTGCGCTTACCCCGCAACCCCGGCTGAACATCAGCCCTTTAGGTTTCTTTCTAATTATCTAATTGGCTTATTTCTTAATAAGCTTTTCCATTACCTAAAGAGATAAATCATTTGTTTACAAACTTTTTAACTCAAAACTCTTAATTTCTTAACAAATAATAGACAAATCATTAAAAAAAACTATCAATTTTAAAAAAGGAGCTCTACCTAAACAATATCAGTTGTTGAGTTCCGTACTGATGCTGATCTTATCACGTAACCCTGGCATTAACTGACGCGGCCAACAAGCACCGCAATAATGTTCACAATACTTCGGATACCTCAACAGCTACAACTATTAAGTCACTATGTGGTCTAAATACTTGTAAAAACAACAGGATACTAGTATTTAAAAACATGGCTGTGATCTCACCGCTTTAAAGTTACTGCTTAGTCAGTTTCTTGTACAGAAACTAAATCCTTTTTTTTTACTAAGTTTGTCCATAGATCGAAACCTCTATGTTTTCTCCTGTAAAATTGATTACATTTACGGAATGAATATTCGAACTAGTGGTATCCTCATTAAAAGATATGTCTAAATGATAAAAAAATTGAATAATATAAATTAACGTTATTTTATAAAAATAAATATTGGTGTATACAATAGAGCAGTTTGTACCAGTGGCTTCGCCCGTAGAATCAGGTTAAAAATTAACCTAAGTCTAAGTAATTCCAGACGAAAATCCATTCAGTAGTTTTTTTGCATAAGTACTTGCATAGATACTTGCTGGCAAACTTTCGCATATAAAATGTTAATGAGAGATTTAACTAATAGTTAATTTGGTATATATTCTCCTAATCTTAAAACCCGCTTTAAAAAGCAAAAACGTAGGACAAATCAAGTATTTCAAACCAGTCTTTTTGAATTCAGTTCCAGTAACGAAATACTTTTATTACAAGACATTATTACCAATAATATGGCAATAAAAGTCTCACTTGGTCCAACTGTGAAATAAGTATGGACACCACATACAGGTGTGTAATACAGGTCCTGGATTTTGGCGGTCTGCCATTTACACTTTCTGTGATAAAATATTGGCACTTTAGGACTAAAACTAAAAACGGCTTATAATACGGTAGTTTCCAACTAGTCAAATTCAATACTTTTATCCAAATGTCAAAAACGATATGAAATTCATACGAAAAACTGAGTTATGACGTCATAATATTTTTGCGTCAAATAGCTTACTTATTTCTTAATAATAAGCAAAATCTAAAATTTAATGCAACGATCGATCGATTAATAGCAGTTATTTTTCAATATTTTAGTGTATTGAAACGTCGAATCAATTTATTTTTGACCCAGGAAACTATCCAATTAATAATGATATGAGATGCTACGAGTAGCATGCATATGCTCAGAATGAACCTAACCCAAAAACCCAAGGTAACGCCTATGGTAACCCGGAGCAGTATGGGGCAGGAAAAGCAGCGGAGTGATTTTTAGTCAGCAAGAGTCTGACACTCTCTCACCCCACTAAGAGCGGCAGAATACATAAAATTATTTTTCCTCAAAACATTTTTTTTTTTATTTAAAAACGTTTCCCTATCCTAGGATTTCCTCCTGTGTCGTGGGTGCGGTTACAAACGTACAATTATCAAAATATTAAAATATTACAAACATCACATACACATCACACCCAGTCCCGGAACAACAATTGTGCCACGCAACAACTCTTTGTGTGGATCACGTGCCCGCACGCAACAACTCTTTGTGTGGATCACACAAAGAGTTGTTGCGTGCGGGAATCGAACCCGCGACACGTTGCACGGCAGCCAGTTGACCAGCCACCGCACCAACCGTGCAGTAAATGAACCATAACCTACCATATTCGGTAGGATATTAGAAACATTAATATTGACTTCCTTAAAATTCAACATCTACATTTTACGCTCGAGTTAAAAAGTTACGATATCAATAATCCGCTACGAGCAGTAAAAAGACTGCCTCTAGTCATTGATGAGTCCGTTCCTGTACGGAGAGACAGTGTTTAGGAATGAACCTGCTCAAAAATCACCCCCAGCAATTTGCTCGTATCATCAGCACATAAGTGCTCATTTCTGAGCATAAGGCCTCTTCTCAGACGGAGAAAGTTTGAGCATTATTCACCACGCTTGTTCAAGGCGGATTGGTGATTTCAAAATTATAAGTCCAGGTTTCCTCACGATGTTTTCCTTTACCGTAAGTTTGAAGTGTCTAAATAATCATAGAAATTGCATATGATTCGAAAAAGTCAATGCATTATGCTCTGTAGCCAGCTTCTGTGGATTTCCTCAGTTGAGTCTGCGTTGGTTTTCTCTAGACAGGTGTCCAAGAGTACTTAGGTTTTCACCCATTGACTGAATTTAATTGTATTCAAGAATGTCTCAGAACGGTTAATGCTCAGACTTAGTCTATCAATCCCAATTTTGTGCAAAAAGTTTTCCAAATTTGCGCCAATAGTCTAAAGGTAAAAGTCACTGTGACTGTGAACTTAAAAATACAAATGGATTACTGTAAATTACATATATGTGCATGTAGTTTCCTACACCAACGTTTTGTTTATACAAAATAGCTGAAACTCGATGACTCTGCACTATATGTACCAACTTACCCAAATACGTGATCGATCCGTTATCAACCAAATGAAATTACCTTCCCCAAAACTGTCTGGTCAAGATGATACGAGCTTTTACTACTACTATCTATAAGGAAAACTTTGAGTGTCATACATGTCCTCGCTCTTAATACTAAATAAACATTAATTTGCTATAACAACACGCCTAATTAGTTGTGAACCACTACTCATGAGAGTACGATTAAATAAACCCATGTAAGCCGGAACATCCGCTATCAAATGATAAGAACAAATATTTGATCCATCGTTTAAAATAATAAAAATCAGTTCAGAACTACTTCATTAATCTTTAGCAAACATAACTTGAGCTAATATCTCCTAGATAAGAACTAAGAAGAACTTCCTTATACGAAGCAAAATTAGTCTATCGGTTAGTATTACCGTCACAGCGTCAAAACTTTTTTCAGACAATAGTTTTAGGATCAAGCCCGGGAGAGCCAAGCTTCGGCACGAATGGGACCGGTTCGACGTTGTGTTTCGCTCTGTAAGTGAGGCTACCCCAAGTCCATTCTTCCCCTCCTCCCATAAAAACCCACAAGAGGCCTGCAACTCACTTGTGGCAACTCCTTTGGTACTACGATTATCCACGGGCGTCGCTGATTGCTTACCGTCAGGTCGTCGTCTGCTCGTTTGCCGATCCACGACATAAAAAAGGGTATAAATTTTTATATATATTTTTACTAAGTATTATTATTCAATTACGAGTTCTAATTTCAAAACACCATGTAGGTCTAACTAATTAGTTAAACGTATCAATTTTTGCTCATAACTTTCGTCATACCCGCGGGGTCCAATGGCACGGTGATACAATTCATTATGTAACACGCAACACAGTAATTCCAAGTGCAAAGAAACCAAGACACGTAGACTGAGGGCAGACTGACCAGCCGCTCAGTGACAGTTGGTAACCCAAATAAATTGTAACATCGTAAATTTTATTGTAGCTGTATGCTGTATGCAAGGTAATCCCTTGAATAATGATGTTTGTTTCGCGAATATCTTTAAATCATTAGCTGTTGGTGCAATGCCGTGTCCCGTTTTTTAAAAATACTTTAGTTATTTTTGTGTATTTTCTTTTATGCTTACTGTTGTTTTTTTTTTTTTTTTTTGAAGGGAAGCCCATCAAAATTACTTCTCCAGCCCAGGGTGAGGCGAGAGGAAGTGTAAGACTCTTGCTGACTTAAAAAACCCCTGTTCCTTCTCCTGCTTTAGGCCGAGGCCGCGGTACCTTAGTGTGCTTGCCCCGCAACTCCGGCTTTCATGCTTAACGGGATACTTAGTTAAATAAATCTGGCAGCTTACACTGTATAGTGTTTAAAGAAGCATCGACCGTTAAAAGGTTTGAAAGATAAGCACTCATATTCTTACATAATACATTTATTTCCTACATAGCTTTTTAAAAAGGAAGGGAAAAGACAGAGCCTTTTTCGCCTCTCTCTATCTCTGTTACTGACTTAAAACCCCATTCCTCCTCGAGCCCTTAGGCCCCATCTCTAGTGGTCTAACAGTTCTTTGTGCTAAGCCAAATGTACGCCAAAGATCTATAATCACGAAATCATTGTAGCTATAGTGATATTAATGAGTTTGTTTCTTGATCAATACGAATACGTGGTTTTATTACCATAGATAGAAGTGCAATGCACTTTGTCACCTATCCAATATATATTGGGTATCTACTTATTAAATATAGAGACTGGCAGATAACGATTAACGATGAGCTCGAAACTTATCGGGCGAGCTCGAAACGTGTCGTGACAACAACAATTGAAATCGGGTAACAATATAAACACAATAGCTTACAAAATCTATTCATGTATGAATGTAGTCATTGTGAGAAACATAATAATCATATTACCTCATATGAAATGTTTAGTTTTGGACCTGATGCGGCGTGCGGTGTGTAAAACCAATATATAAAATTCTAGTTTCATTGATACGGCACAATCTAGCGCGGAATCTTATCGCAATGACAAAGCATGTATGCGAATTATCGCGATATATTATACGAGACCAAATATTATTTTTAACATTACATATTTAAAGCAAGAACAAAAATGTCGTTCTCCGGCAAGAAATTCAGACGGGTGCGATCGGAAAATATTGAAGAAATAGTTAAAGCGACCAGTGAGTGCTTAAATTTAAGTGTTTTGTTTTGTGTATTTATATATTCCGTGTTATAGATATATCAGTGTATAATAATGTTTTATTATTCGCTGTGTGGTCGCCGGGTTCACTCAAATTATTTGACAGTCATTGTGATTGCGATATTTCTATGAAATGGACTTTGA